CTGGCGTCAATTTGATGGGTCCAGGAGGATCGCCCGTCAACTCTGAGGGCCCTGGCGGAAACGGAAGTTACTCTCCCACGGGCGCAACTGATCTCATCTCAGTGCAGTCCATAGCCGCTAAGGCCTCCGGTAAGCATTTTGCCCAGACATGTATATTGTTGTGTGTGCTTTTACGTTGCTCCAGTTTTGAAATCGGTGATACTGTGGCATACCAACTCTCCTAAATACTGCTGCCGCCATTGTCTTCACCTCGTTAATAACGAAAATATTGAAATTTCGTACTCTCAGGTAAAAAGTCAGATTGAAGGTCCTGCAAATGCAAGATAACCTACCTCGTGCGAAACGCTTAAATTTTTCTAAAGACCGATAATCGCCTGCAAACCGACACAACGGATGTAACAAAGCTTTAAATTAATAATGAACCATAATGAGCGGATTTGAAACTCAAGTTCAATGTGGGATATAATATTACCTTGTTTAGATATACCGCCTTTTTTAAAGTGGCAATGTTCGAAAATGTGAAAGATTGCTGACTTTGTCTGATGAATGCAGATAAACCTTTCGTGTATATTAAGAGAATTTTCCTTTTGTCAAATTTCTTTGTATATATAGCGGCTTGCCACGAGTTTCAGATCGTAATTGAAATAACAGCGAATACTTCGCAATTTTTGCGATTGCCCCGTAATTTATTGTTCTATGTGTCAATCGGGAAGTTGGTAAATGTTGTGCCCATCCATAAGTGGAAGATCACAGCCATATCACACCAACTACCAAATGGTCAGTCTGACACGCATTTGTTGTAAATTCATGGAAAGGATACTTAAATAGATAAATTATATCGTCCGATACATTTCGCTGTCGAATGAGCTTAGTTTATCATGGTTTCTGTGAAAAGAGGTCCTATCTTATTAACCTTCTTACTTCGCTCGAACTTTAGTCAAATACAGTGGATGAAGGACGTCTCGTAGGTGTTATGTACTTGGATTTCAGCAAGGCGTTTGATTGCGTCGCAGCCTCATTTTCAAGTTGATCGACTTAAAGATGGCGGGAAATCTCCAAAAGGCATCTTAAACGATCGTAAACAAAAACAATACTGCGGGTGGCTACTGTTCAGAATGGGTGTCTGTCAAAAGTGGAGCTACGCAAGAGCCATTTTGGGCCGCTCCTGTTCTTTTTTTACGGAATTGATTTATTACAGGCAGTAAACTCAGATATAGCGCTGTATACAGATAGTCTTAGACTGTAGAGGGTGATAATACACAAAATAGACCATCAGATACTACAAGAGGACCTAGACCAGCTGCACGCATGTGATGTAATGCATGTGATATCAGCAATACATAGAACAAAGATAGTCTCACGACCACATTTCTAGGAAAATCAATGATTTGAAACCGCGAGTGTGTTATCATAGGCGACATGGAAGTTCGACCGTCGATTTCGACTGTGCTCTCCATCGTAGGATGATAATGGGGCGATAACTTGCGCTGAATTATGGTGAGAGTATATTTGCGATGCATACACCTCACTCTCTCCCCACTTCTCCACCTGGGCCCCGTTTCCAGACAAACAATTATGCAGGCACCATAACTGTAGAAGTGTAGGATTCCCGAAATCTCAATCTTAAATCATGCAACAGGACGCCCAAATTAGGACTTCGTTATGGGGAATTTAATCCAGAATTGTCTTTAACTCAGCCATCATTGGGCCTAGCCTTGAAACGAGAAATGAGGCGACATGCAGAGGACTGCATGAGCATAAATCTTGTCTAAACGTCGGCAACAGTAGCTTATGTAGGCTAATCTAACTCCAGAACTGTAAGTTGGACGGCAACAGTAGCTTTTGTAGCCTTACTCATTAATCCCTACTCCCTGCATGTTTTCCTACGAAAATGGTGGTTATAGGGTTTTATTTATGGGGAATTAGGACAAGCAGTGGAATATACTTTAATAAATGCTCCATGCATTTTTTATTTTATTGTATG